GTCTCCATTCTCCTTTTCAACTGTTATTAAAGCTGTAGTGCAGCATGATTAAGCTCCCGATAACAAGTAAAACTGTACTTAATGGTCAAGTCACTACTATGGACCCATTCTCTAAGAAATATATAATTTCTGGCCACATAATAGCTCGACATTATTAATTTTATTCACAACCTAAGGTACCTTAACTAAGCTGTTTCAGTGAGATCAGTGCACTAAAACAAGTGAGACTCAGTTTCAAGAGCTTGATTCACCACTGGACTGAAGTTTAACACGCAAATGACTAGCTCACATTAAGCCCCTTTGCACCTTTCAGGCCCAAAAGTTTTTCTGAAAACCGGTTTTCCCTCATTTCTTGTGTTCACAGATGAAATCATTGAAGCCACATATCAACAAGCTTCTGAGAGGGGAGGATGTTTAAAAAGGTACCCTCAGCAGAGGGTAGGTCCAGGCTGTGTGCATGTTTCTGGCAAAACAGTGCTGGGAATCCCCCAGCAGAATCTGAACGTTCCAGGGGCAAATACACTTCAAAAGAACCTCAAGCTTTTGAATTATACACAAGGTGAATTCTGCACCATTCTTAGTCTGGGGAAGCATTTTGAAAAGGCAGGGGGAAATAATTGATGGATGGACTCCAGAGAAAGTGGAGTAAAGACTCCTGGGTTTTCTTTGCTCTATGATTCCCGCAGTGTTCTCCAGCATTAGAGTTGCTGCTACTTTGCCATTAGTTACAACAACTGATCACAGGTTTTAAAACCCTTAGCGTGGAGTAGAGCAGCAGTCACTGGATGCCTTCCCTTGCTTCAGTAACCAACAGGATTACAGAGTTTAGGTGCACATTTAGATACACTTTTGACTTCTTTCACCTTTAACCTGGTGGAGCTCAGTGTGCATGACCAGGAGTTGACAAGGAAGGAAGCAAGAAAAAATATAATGCACTTGAGCACATTCAGCTGATCAATCCATGGAGGACCCAGCCTCGCTCTCCACATTCCCAGGAGAAGAAACACCACTTTTCCCTCTATAGAAACAAAAATAAGGAGGAGAGGCACTAGTGATCCTCAGGACTGTCCTCCCTAGCTTAACTTCTGTTTGGAATTAAAGCTCCTTGCTGTCCCCAAACGCATGACACTTTTCATTCTACAGTTCTGAACATTTTGAGCTATCGATACGTTTGGTTCCTTTGACAGTTTCACACTGGAAGAAACACGCCATTTCTTTACAATGAATACACAAAATTTCAGACTAAAGAAACACTTTGATCCCACACCAGCAGGCAAGAGCTGTATTTCACTCAACTGACACAGTAACAATGCACTGGCATTTTTGCTTTATGGCAAAACAGGCAGCAATGAAAACCCAACGGTACCAGGAGGCACAAAGGAGCAGCACGTACCCACAGCCATGGCCTTCAACGCTGAATTCCCAGGCAGGGGCCACAGCTGGGTAACACAAGTGCATCACTGCAACACACAACTGCCCCTCAGTGCAACGCCAGGCGCGAGATGCGACCACAGCAGATGCTTTGCTGTCACATCCCTCTCATCACCAGCAACCCTGAAGCGGGGATTGGATTTGCATTCCATTTTCTTCCCTTTGGGCTCCCAACACACAACATCCACAAGCCCCTTCCACCATGGCTAGCAGGCTGCATTAAAAAGGCCTGAGACTGAGCAGTATGCTTATGGTATTTTCGCAAAGAGCTGCTGCACACTTTTCAAAGATGAAGACCCTTTTCAAAGATAAAGACCCTTACATAAAGATCAACCCATTCTCACAAGGCAGCTTAATTCTTCCACGCTTTCAATGCTTGAGTTTTGCTGCATGAGTAAAGCTTGTGCAAAGGGTGCTGAGCAGCTGCAAAAATGGTTGCAAGTACCCACTAAAATCACTGCTAACGATACAGTTCATACTTCTTTAAAATTATCTATAAGCTGGTTTAATTAAATATGGAACAACTGCAGGAAACTGCTTATGACTAATGAAAGCTCCAGATGTAGCTGGCCAGGGGATCTAGCACAGTAAGTGTTTTCAGTTGCAAAATAGCTTCATTCAAAATTGCTTCTTCCTGCCAAGTTGGCAATTCCCATTCAATTATGCACAGGTACGGGGGCAGCCCTTTTACTATGGCACAATGTTATTTCATTTACCAAATTACATTGCTTATAACACGTATCTGACAACATTTAATAAAAAGCTGAATACCCTTTAAGCACCTGGTTCAAAGGATTATGTTTCTTTTCCCATAGACACAAATTACCAAATCCTCACACTGCTTGTGTCCAACTCAGTAAATACGTACCCCCATTTCAGTCTTGTACATAGAGGAGAGACAAATTAAAACTAAGGTAAATAAAAACACTGTAACCTCATATGGCAACTTTCAGACACAGGTTTGAGAAGCACTACCTTCAGCAAAGTGTCCAAAATCTGGTTTGCATAATCATTTAGTAAAAACGCTCTTATAAAGGTAGCTAGCGGGGCAAGTGAAAAAACATGATCAAGTACTACATCACAGACAAACATCTAGCAGCCTTTCAAAAAAAAAATATACTCCTCAAAATACATTAAAACACACCACTCCCTTCACACACCAAAGACACATTAATACTTTTTTTTGGTGAAGGGCCCCTAAGATGCGCTTAACCCAAAGACATTTGGATATAATGGAACCACAGTATTCACATCAGCCAGCTTATCCAAATGTTGCAAAGCGATTTGACATACACAAACTATGGGGAACTTGGATTGAGAGGGATAATAAATTTGCTTGGGTATTTCATAAATTGCATTGTAATGTGGAAATAAGGCAAGAGGAAAAGAAGAAAATTTTCTTTCACATCAATTATGTATTGTGCAATTCCATTGATCACAGATTTTCCTCATGAACTGAGTCTGAAATCAAGACTGGACCTGCCTCAGAGACAGGTAACATAGCCAGGGTTAGATAAATCAACATCTGCATGTCAGGAGTGCCTGGGAATTTCACTTAGCAATGTAAGCCAGCTGCCAGGTTTTTAAGGCAGAAATCTGCACAAACCCAATTTCCCTTATCACTTTTCCACCAAGTACACATTTTAATCAATAGATGGATACTTAAGTGTGAGGTTTTGTATTCTGACAAAGTAATTTTAAGGATGGCGGCCACCTCCCAGGGTGCAGGTTAAGCAAAGCCACAAGTACCATAAAGTAATCTTGAAGAAGCATTGCCAAATCACCTCTTGACAAAACACTTTGTCAATTATGCTGCCACTTGTCTTGAGCGTTGTTGCTTCCCAAAGTCAGACGTTGTGGCACAGCCCAGTGAGATCCATACCAGTCATTTAGATAACAAGGGGAAAATAGGCGCACTCAGCATGTGTTTTAAAACATGTTTTCTATTCAGAACCCCAGTGCTCCATCTTTAGGTCTTTGATCAAAACTGTATGCACAAAGGCATGATTCAGAACTGCCAGCATCAAAATAATCATATTCTACGTCTGCGTGTCAGCAGCACGGAAACAATTAGCTCTCGGCCCCGAACTCGGCGCTTGTTCCAGCGCACTGGGTGCAAACCGGACACTGTGCCAGGACGTTTGTAGGACAACTGCTAACAGCACACATTCCAACACTGCCCCGGAGCCCACAGAAGAGGATCATTTCCTAGAAAGCCTGGGGAGCTGGGAAGAAGGGCTGGAGCCCCAGGTGCAGCCTGCCACCTCCCGGCCCCCTGTCTGCCCAGGTACCAGCATCCACCAACCTCAATAAGCCACAGTGGAGAGATCAAGAAAGGAAAAAGCTGGAGAAGACTGAAAGATGAAAGAATAAAAGACCAAATGGACAGGAAAAGAGGCAGAGGGCAGGGTGCTGGAGGAAAAATAGCGGAGCCTAAACAGCTACCTTTATGAGAATGACAAGTACCAAGATAAGATTATGCATAGAGATAAAAACTGAATTCGGTAAACAAGAATTTTAATTTTCACCTCTAGAAAGCACAGCGGGATTTGCTCACAGTGCATGGGTACGTACTACCTTTCATAAAAGTTGTCCCAAACGTTACTGACAGAGTACTTGTGTGTTCAGGGCACAGTTCTCTGCAGCCTTTCTGTGGCCAAAACACCCACAGTCATTTAGCAGGGTCAATCATCTCCCCAAGCTCTTGCTTTCTCTCTCAAGATGTAAACAGAAATACAGAAATAGACAAAAATAAACATGCATACTCTGAGAGGCAGCACTTACTTAATATAAGCCTACTGCTAAAAAAATTAAATGAAAACCAAAGGAAGCTTCTCTAGAGCTGAAAAATACTAGTACTGGTGGTACATATCTGAGGTTAGCATTAACTGACCAAGAACACTGTTAATTTGCTTTTTCAAGTGCCTATTAGAAAATTCAAAAATGCAACTGGCAATAGGGCCAGATTTGCAATCCCTTGCGGTTTCAGGCCCGAGTCATTTGAATGAAAACCGGGGAGTTTGCAAAACAACGTGGTAAGAGACAGTCCCCCATCCTGTGTGTGTAGTTTCAGTATCCCTGAGTTGTTAGCGGTTGATAAAATGATTGCATTACATTTCACCGCCCGTCACCTACTGGGCCTGTTAGAGCCGTGCAATAAAGAACAGAGCCTGTGCGGTTTTCTGGGTGGAAAAAACAAAAGTAGCAGTAAAACAAATCCCTAGGAAGGTGCGAGACAGGCGGCTCTCCCGCGAAGTTCGGGGATGCTGGGATGCCCGCGGCGGGCAGCGCCGGGGACGGGACGAGAGGAGAGATCCCTCTCTCAGGGATGGGAGAGGATCCCACGGATGCATTTTCAGGCTCTGCATCCCGGCCCCCGCATCAGGGGCAGGACCGGCCCCGCACCGCGGCACCTGCGGGAGGCTCCCGCGCGGGGCGGGAGGACCGCGAGCCCCGGGGCGACCGCGCCTCGCTCGCCCCGAGCTCCCCGCGCCCCCCCGCGCCGCGCTCCCGGCACGAGTGCGGCCGAACGGCGAGAGACACACGGGCGCTCCCGCTCCCCCGCCTACCATCGCCTTGCCGTGCGGGGCGGCGGGTCCGCGGCGCTGCGGCTGCCCCCGCTGGTCTCCGCCGCGGTCTCGCTTCTCGCGGCCGCCGCGCTGCTCCTCGCCGGCGTCGAGGGAGGTGAAATTCCAGACGAGGAGGGTCTGCAGGAGCAGCACGGTGAGCGCCGCCACCAGCGCCGAGCGGGAGCGCCGCGCCAGCCGCCGGGCGCACGGAGCCGCCACCATCTTCGCTGCTGCTGCTGCCGCCGCTGCTGCCGCCGCGCTCCCGAGAGCCGCCGCATCCGCCGCGGCACCGAGTTTTCAGCCGGGCAGAGCCAGACGTCAGCAGGAGGAGGGCGGAGGGGGGGAAGGAGGGAGGGAGAGAGAAGGAGGAGGTGTGCGCCGCGCGTGGGGATGGGGGAAGCCGGCGGGGAGCCCTGGCGGCGCGGCAGCCCGCGGGCCGGGGCAGCCCGGGGCCAGGGGTGGGGTTGGCGGAGGAAGAGGAAGGAGGAGGAGGAGGAGGGGGGTGGGCTGGAGGCGGAGGAGGAGCGGCAGCGGGGGCTGCTGCCGCCGGCGGGCGGGCGGGAGAGCCCCGGCCCTGCGCGAGGGGAAGGGGCCGGGGCGGGGCCGCTCCGCGGCTCACGGCGGGCGGGAAGACGGGCGAGGAGAGGAGAGGGGAGGGGGCGGCCGGCGCCGGGGCGGGCGGCGACTGCCATCTTCTGAGGGAACGCGGCCTCACGGCGGGCGGAGCGGGGCGGCGGCACCTGGCGGGCGGCGGAGCCGCGGCCGCCTTTGCCCCTCACCTGGCGAGCGGCCGCCCCCGGGTGCGAACACCGGCACGGGCGCCTGCGGACCGTGTCAAGGACAAAAATGGTCCAAATTCCTCAAAACTAAGGGTTTTTTTTAATTTTTTTTTTTTTAAGCAAAAAGGTCACTGGCAGGGTTTGGCCTCAGCGGAGTGAGGGCGAGAGCAAGGTGCGACACCTCCACAGCACGGTGAGCTTTGCAGGTACCAGGCTTAGGCACAAGGTGACTGTAATTAAATGCCCGGTGTCTCAAAAAGTGAACATAATGGACGACTTCAGTTGCCTTTTTCTCCCATACTGCTATTGGCTTTCTAATCTGAAAGATCTCATTATCTGATGATAGGACTGAAGTAGGCATTTTTTTTAATCTGCCTGCACAGTGCCTCTTTTTGTAAGCCTAATTCCACTTTACAAACCAAATCCAAAGGTAAAAAAATACTATTTCCTGATAAGAACAGTTGTTTTTTTAAATGACAGCCAGGTAGGATTTGCAGAGACCAGCAGGATTTTGTTTGCATCGAAAGTGCTTTAGTTTCTGATCTGAAGAAAATGAAACAAGTAGTAAGATTCAGAAGCATCCCTTATTAAGGGAATTTCCCTCATGATCCAGTGAAGCTACAAATAAAATTTCAGAGGGGGTATCCTTTGTTGCACTGTTTCAGAAGCAGATGAAGTATGTGGCAGATTAGTGGTAAGAAGCATTGTGCAAATACTTTACAGAGGTGCACATGATTGGACATACAGGCTTACTAATATTACAATTAATTTTTGATACTAATCTCATTATCTGGTGGAAGAATCAGGTTTAGAAATAAATAATCCGTTGCTCCTATTGCACAAGTATTGAGTCTCTAGTGGTAAACTGTGTCCTTGAGAAAACAAGCAAGGTGTTGTTCCATGGGCTCTTTTGGTCCTGTCCTGTCCTCTGATGCTGTTGGATACTCACTTCCCAGCAGTTCTGTCCTGGTGCAAAACCACCAACTCATTGCAGTTGCTCTTCGTCGATAGAGCAATGAAACCTGAATCAGGCCCAAGCACAAACATGCAGTTTCGAATAGGGCCACACTCTCAAATGTCACTGACTGCAAGGTGTCTACACAGAGAGGGCAAAATACATCATCAGTAACTTACAGGAAAGTCAGGAGGGAAAGGCTCCTTTCTGTGTGACAGCAGAGCATTGTCTGGCTGACCTTGCATTCATGTAATGGAACGGTGTCCATTTTTGCCAGCTGGGGTGATGGCAAACTGCTCTTAGTGGGCAGAAAGCCCATGATAGCAAATTTGGACAGTGCCAGGCTTTCCCAGCGGTTGCATGTGCATCGGATTTGCTGGTCACGCAGTACAGCAAAGTGAGCTGTAACAACAACAAAAAAAGAAAAGGACTCAAAGTCTTCCTGAACGTTCTGACAGAGTCTGCACAGCTCAGGAAGTCGATGGATAATTTTCATCCCAAACCATCAAATAATTGGGCATTATAAATACAATCGAGCAAATCTGCTGATAAATACAAGATAGAAGTGTCTTCCACTTGGGATTAAATGTTTTTCTCTTCAAAAGGAAGTTGTGGTCTTAGCATGTGGTTGCCCCGTGCAGCCTTCCCTCGGGCTTGTAGAGGGCAGGAGGTGCTCATGGTGCAAGAAAAAAAAGAGTCTTTGAACAGGCCAAATGTCTGAGAGCTCTGAAGAGCCTCCAGCTTCAAGGTCTGATTCTGATCCTACAAACCTCATTGGGAAATGGAAGGGACATTCCAACGGATGCCCTACAATGGCTGAAAGCCCTGAAGTCAACATTCAGTGCTTTAGCACAGGGCAACACTGCTTTCTATAAAAGGAGCACAGCAGTAGTTATGATGAACTTGTGATCCGTGCTTCTTAAAATTTTTATGAGCTATTGGTAAATTTCCTCCAGATTTTATGGGGCAGTTTTTATGCTGGAAAATGTGTGCATTTTCCTAATCTCTATATAATTACTGTGACTGATAAGGCAGTGAGGAACAGCAGTGCATGCTCAGTGTTGCATGTGTCCTACTGAAAGCCCATCTGGAAAGAAGATTTGTATCCAAACCACAACAATTTATAGCTCATAAAGATCTGAGTCTTCAGTGCAAAGTCAGCCCTGCATATGGGTGGGAACCCCAGCATGAGACATTCCTGCACTGACAGAAAAAGTGAAGCAGGGAGAGGAGCAGGCATCTCCTCCCTCAACATCCTCCTTTCCCTGTATTTACAGATCATGTAAAATCTGGAGAGTGCTGTAGGTATGGCAATCATTTTTAAAACCATGCTCTGACCATTGACCACTAACTGTTCAAAACATCCTTCTTCTGTGCTAAAGAAAACAGCATAATTTAACTGATTACTTTTTTTTCTGTGCTAATCCAAACTAAAAAATAAAAATGGCAAGGCTGATCATCTTGAGAATCTGAAGATTAAAAAAAAAATCACAGAAACTGAAAAACTGAACTGTACAAATCCAAAGAACAAACTAAAATCAGAAATTACATAAAACTTGAAACTCTAAAATGGAATTCTAAAATGGAATTCTCTTATTATCACACTCGTGAATAATGGCATCTCAAGTGAGCTGTGTTGCATCAGAAAAATTTAATCCGGTTACACAGAAGACATTTAAGAGAGGTATTACTCTGAAAATTCCCAGTGTTGCCCATGTTAGGTGAGATGATTAGCACCTAGCACAAAATATATAAGAGAAGCCCCAGACTTGATTCTAAATATACAAGTATTATGTTGGTTGCACTTAACTGTCAAAGAGATGGTGTTTTAAGCAAGGATAACGAATGTGATTTGGCTAATTTGCTTTAAAATCCTAACAGATAATTGGTTTAAATATTTTTTACCACTGCACAGGTATGTAAATTCAGTGTGGGTGTGTTTGAGAGACAGTGGGTATCAATCTTGGCTACTTAAATTATGTAAAAAAAGAACCATATTCTGTTCCATTTTAGTCCGATCTACTTTGCTAGATTTTCCTATCCTGTTATAAAAAAATATTTCCTCCTCCTTACAGTGTAGATACGGTCTAAAATTGCATCAAGTAACCAGACTTTGTACAAAGAAATAAGTAAAGTTGAGAGCAATGTTAATAAGCAATATCCTTTGCTCTGCTTTGCAGAGCTTCTGGTCCATCTGGTGAACAAACACTACAGGCTTATCTGAACTCCAACTCACAGGCTGACTCATAGGTGGTTTAGAAACACAATCTGTAATCAGTGAAAGACTAAGTTATTTCAGAGTGAAGATTTGCATTTTTCTTAAAAACAGTCATATCCCTATCGCATCAAAATTTAGATTTCAGATATATGTTATCAGGGTGAAGGGGAAAAAGGTGTCTCTATGAATGAACTGATTTGTCTAGGAATGGTTATCTATAATATACTCAAAAGAAAATATGTGAAGAATATAGAACAAATAGCAAATTTGTGTTTATTCCTACAATTTCAAAAAAAAATCCTAGCACCTAAGGAATGCACCTTACGAACAGAAAAGGTTGAAAATAGGCCATGAACAGTGTTCAGTGAGTAATCTGCAGCAGCAGTAGCAATATCTTCTGAGGTTTGGGCTTCTTCCCTGAAGTGATAAATTCTTTTTTTTCTTTTTCTTCTGTTGCTAGCCAGAACAACACAGCACTGCTAATCATTTCAGTGAAGCGTTGTGCCTGTGGAGGACATATCCCTTTTCCCTGGGAGGCTGGCAGACTTACGGGTCTGTGCATCAAATCTGAACGAGCAAAACAGGACAGGGAATTACTCCTTGAGAATTTCACCATCTCGGGCTGTAGGTCACTGCTCTGCAACAAGTTTCACTGTTTTCTGTCTTAAAACACTGGTGTGTTGTTGTACTTTAAAGGCAGAGGAAGTATATCTTGATTTTTCTGGAACCACAGAACCATCATTAACTTTGTGTTCTCCAATTCATTCATTTTATGGTTTACATGTATGTTTTGCACCACTCAGGTATGCTGTACCACAGACATTCACTCTTCTATCATTTCTTTTCATAAACAAACCCAAGATTCTTTGCCATGTATTCATTTTAAATCAGGCTACTCTTCAAGTCAGTTATAAAATTCAGGTTCTCTCTTACGTACATGGACAGAACTCAAGTCAATGGAGATGTGACCACTGCGTGCAAGAAATGCTTTTAGTTCTGGTGGGTTTATAGAGCTTGAGATTCCAGCAAGCCATTCTTAATCCACTCTTGTTCCATTTTGCCACTTTATGCTTCACAAATGCAAACTCTGGTGTCAATGAATATGCAAAAGCCAAACTTTTGACACCAAGGTTTCATTCTGGTAACAGTATCTATAAACTAGCAACTGACTATACCGTGTCAGTATAGCCAAAGACAATAAAAGCAGGCTCACTGTTCAACTGATATAAAATATGTAATATGTGCGTGGAATATATATTACATCTTCCTTCTGAGAGATAAATTTAGTCCAGGACCTTGGCATATG